CAGCATCATAGGGTTCACTCACCAGCCCTCTCGATCCCAGGGCCTCCCATGTGCACCAGGCCAGGATTAGGGTTGTGGTGCTGGGACAGAAGGTGCTGCTGTAGGTGTTTGGTGCCCCATCAATGAGGTGAGGAGAACATGGTAGAGAAGTGCACCCATTGAATAGGGAGAATACATCAACACTGAGTTCAGTGGATTATGGTGCATTTAAAACTTTACTTGTGTGCATACAAATCTCTTCAGTTTACTTGTAAATAGCTAGCTACACATTTGTTAGTTCTGTGAGATTTGTAGGCTTAGGCTATCTCAATGGTGAAAGCTAAACTAGATATTAGCTGTGCAGCTTTAGCTGAGTGGGGAATGAAACCAAATGGTCAATTAATTTGAGTACTGGAGAACCACCAGGAGAGTCTTCTGAGTGGGGATGGTTTTAAAAAACTAAATGTAAAGCCAGTAGGTATAATTGAAAATAGTACCACGAACAACCCATTGGCCCTTTGATTGCAAAACCTGGCTCTGCCACTGCTAGAATAGAGGTAGGGTTCCCTTGAGTTTGGATTCTCTTTGGGGAGCAGTTATAGCACATGCATTTCTTCTGATGGATTCCTGAATTTCTTCTGAGACTTTCTTAAATTATTTCATTGTGTGAAATGGAAATAATGGCTTTTCTGTGTCTTTTCAGCAAACTATTGTCCAGGAATCTGACCTGTCCAGGTATCTGACCTGCCAACACAAACCCGCTCTTAAATATCCTGGAAGGATCCTGTTCTCTGGCAGGGTAATAAAAACATTAACTACCTAAGATAGCCAGAAGGTATGGCTCTGTGGGGGGAAAAATATCTTTATGGTTTGCTTACATAGAGGCAGGTGAGAATACTTCAATATGTTTGGCTGGTGCATCAACTTTTCAGTCAGCTGTATGTCACGACCCTTTCAAACTAAACCGTGAGGAACTGATACAATATTCAGTGGGAATAATTGAAAATGTGTCAAACAATCCTTTGAAAAGCAACCTGAAATGTTTCTTTGCAGTCTGAAGTTATGTAAATAACAAACTTTTGTCTTATACTTGTAAAACCTGTATATTCTGAGCCTGACCCAAAGCCCACTGAAGTCATTGAAAACACTCCTGTGGGCTTTAAATCATACCCTCTTTGTGCAGCTGCTGTAGCACATAACTCCATGAATTAAAGGTTTTGTGTGGTCTTTCATGGAATGGGTCTTTGGGGACCTGGAGGGGTCATATCTATAGTGACAAGTCTGTGGCCACTTGCAGACACAGCATTAGTTCCAAAGGATCCTGCAAAGGAAGAGAGGCTCATGCCTCCTGTTCTTTAGCATATTTCTTGTCCTCCTTGCCATGATCTTCCCCTGAGGTGTTTCTCTTGTGATCATCAGGCTGTATGTCTTGGCCAATCCACTTCCCTGTTTGATTCTTATCTCTCTTTTGGCCTGTGGATTTCAAGTGAACGAGGCTGCACTCTAGCTATAGAACCAAATAATAAAAACACCAGGCATAAACCACAAATATGTATTTCTTGAGATGTTTATCATTTAAAATTTAAACTGCAGTTGGTAACAATAACCCAGCTTGAATGTGCTCTACATTGCTGAACTATTCATGAACAGGTTTCAGAGTAGCAGCCGTGTTAGTCTGTGAGCTGTAGCTCACGAAAGCTTATGCTCAAATTTGTTAGTCTCTAAGGTGCCACAAGTCCTCCTTTTCTTTATTCATGAACAGTTGCACTGTGCTTCAAGGCAGTAGCCGCTAGAAACAGACATTACAATCACAAATGAAAACAAGGAGTGGGAATCCATTTAGCAAAGAAGGAATCCCCAGTGATCTAGCAGGTTCTCTCCAACAAGGTGGATAATTTAGCCCCAAATCTGTAATTTGTTCTTTTTTTCACTGTCATTGTAATAAGTAAAATGGTTTAAAATAAGGGCAGAACAGAAGTTAAGCTACCTTGTTTTGTAGTCAGCTATGGGAAGTTTATTAGACGAAATATTTGTTCTTATAACCAAACTCAGCAAGTTCAGGTCATTCTTTGTTTTAGAGAGGACAATAGTGCAAAGTGAGTCAGGGTTTGTTTACTCACAACAGTTGTACCACTCTAACTATATGGGAAGCGTTAAAGCACTACAATCCCCCTAGCATGGAGACAGTTATATTGGCATAAGTGTGCTTTACAGCAGCATAGCTATTCCCATACGAGAAGAGGAATGCGCTATACTAGTGTAAGCCACCATTACAGTAGTATAACTGCAGCCACACAAGGGGTTGTACCAGGATAACTACTTCAGAAAAAATTACCCCCCAAGCCAACTTAGTTATACAGATACTCAGAGAAGGGCCATGCTGAGGCTTGGGGTAGCTGACTCTGTATAAACTCACAGTTGCCTCAGTTTGCCTAATTCCCATTTGACCAGCTTTGAGAATCTCGGTCTTAGGCCAGGTCCACTGGGAATGCTTTGCCTGTATAGGAATACTGGTGTACTTCTCGGGTGTGTCTACACTATGGAGGCTACAGCAGCACAGCTGCAGCAATGCCACAGTACGAGAGTGTAGATGGGTCCTATGTTGACGGAGGGGGTTTTCTGTTGCTGTAGGTAATCCACCTCTCCAAGAGGCAGTAGCTGGGTTGATGGAAGAATTCTTCTGCCAGTGTAGCTGGGTCTACATCGGGGGTCAGGTCGGCTTAACTACAGTGCTTAGGGGTGTGAATTTTTCACATGCCTTGAGCAATGTAGCTAGAGCGATCTAAATGTTAAGTGTAGACCAGGGCCTCGGTAGACTTATTCCAGCCCCTGCAAGTGGGAAAACAAACAGGTCTGTCAAGCGATTAAAAAAAATGAATTGCCATTAATTGCACTATTAAACAATAATAGAATACCATTTATTTAAATATTTTTGGGTGTTTTCTACATTTTCAAATATATTGATTTAAATTACAACATGGAATACAAAGTGTACAGTACTCACTTTATATTTTTTGATTACAAGTACTTGCACTGTAAAAAAAACAAAAGAATTAGTATTTTTAATTCACCTAATACAAGTATTGTAGTGCAATCTCTTTATCATGCAAGTTGAATTTTATGTTAAAAAAACTGCATTCAAAAATAAAACAATCTAAAATTTTAGAGCCTGCAAGTCCATTCAGTCCTACTTCTTCAGCCAATCGCTCAGACAAACAAGTTAGTTTACATTTGCTGGAGATAATGCTGCCCTCTTCTTAATTACGTCACCAGAAAGTGAGAACAGGCGTTCTCATGGCACTGTTGTAGCCAGCGTTGCAAGATATATGTGTGCCAGATGCACTAAAGATTCATTTGTCTCCATCTTCAACCACCATTCCAGAGGACTTGCGTCCATGCTGATGACAGGTTCTGCTCAATAACAATCCAAACCAGTGCAGACGACACATTTTCACTTTCTGAGTCAGATGCCACCAGCAGAAGGTTGATTTTCTTTTTTGGTGGTTCGGGTTCTGTAGTTTCTGCATCGGAGTGTTGGTCTTAAGACCTCTGCAAGCATGCTCCATACCTCATCCCTCTCAGATTTTGGAAGGCACTTCAGATTCTGAAACCTTGGGTTGAGTGCTGTAGATATCTTTAGAAATCTCACATTGATACTGTCATAACTATAAAGGGAAGGATAAACACCTTTAAATCCCTCCTGGCCAGAGGAAAAACCCTTTTACCTGTAAAGGGTTAAGAAGCTAAGATAACCTTGCTGGTACCTGACCAAAATGACCAATGAAGAGACAAGATACTTTCAAAGCTGGAGCGGGGGGGACGGGACACAAAGGGTTCTCTCTGTCTGTGTGATGCTTTTGCTGGGATCAGAGAGGAATGCAGGTCAGAACACCTGTAAAAAGTCAGTAAGCAATCTAGTTATGTGTTAGATTCTAGATTTTGTTTAAACGGCTGATAAAATAAGTTGTGCTGAATGGAATGGATATTCCTGTTTTTGTATCTTTTTGTAACTTAAGGTTTTGCCCAGAGGGATTCTCTGTTTTGAATCTGATTACCCTGTAAGGTATTTACCATCCAGATTTTAGAGGTCCTTCTTTTACTTAATTAAAATTCTCTTTTAAGAACCTGGTTGTTTTTTCATTGTTCTTAAGATCCAAGGATTTGGGTCTGTGGTCACCTATGCAAATTGGTGAGGATTTTTATAAAGCCTTCCCCAGGAAAGGGGGTGTAGTGCTTGGGGGGGAAACGTTTCCAAGTGGGCACTTCCCCTGTTCTTTGTGTAACATTTTGGTGGTGGCAGCTTTTAACCTAAGCTGGTAAGAATAAGCTTAGGGGGTCTTTCATGCAGGTCCCCACATCTGTACCCTAGAGTTCAGAGTGGGGAAGGAACCTTGACAGATATCATCTTTGCGTTTTGTCAAATCTGCAGTGAAAGTGTTCTTAAAATGAACATGTGCTGGGTCATCATCAAAGACTGCTATAACATGAAATATATGGCAGAATGCAGGTAAAACAGAGCAGGAGACCTACAATTCTCCCCCAAGGAGTTCAGGCACAAATGTAATTAATGCTTTTTTTTTAATTAGCGTGTCCCCTGGAATGGTGGCTGAAGCATGAAGGGGCATATGAATGTTTAACATATCTGGCACATAAATACCTTGCAATGCCAGCTACAAAAGTGCCATGCAAATGCCTGTTCTCACTTTTTGGTGATCTTGTAAATAAGAAGAGGGCAGCATTATTTCCTGTAAATGTAAACCAACTTGTTTGTCTTAGTGATTGGCTGAACAAGAAGTAGGACTGAATGGACTTGCAGGCTCTGAAGTTTTACGTTGTTTTGTTTTTGAGTGCACTTTGACAAAGATTGTACTACAGTACTTGTATGAGGTGAATAATATTTTCCAATTTCTTTGGTTTATCCTTTTTACAGTAAAAATATTTGTAATAAATACATTTTAATTTCAATTACAACACAGAATACAATATATATGGAAATAAATTTCAATTGGTATTCTATTGTTTAACAGTGTGATTAAATCTGCAATTAATTGTAATTCATTTTTTAATCACTGTTAATTTTGAGTTAACTGCAATTAATCGACAGCCCTACAAATAAAATCAGTAAAAGCACAGTTTTGCCAGTATAACTATGTCTACAGTAGAGGCTTTTGCTGGCACAGATGTCAGTCATAAATCACACCTCATTACACCCCTGACCAACATAATTGTGCTAGCAGAGGTCTGTAGTGTAGACCTCACCCCATTCTTCTAAATAAATCCTGGAAAAAGAGTTGTCTGTATGAACTCCATCCTGCTAGATGCCGAGTGCTCTCAAAGTCAATGGGAATTAAGAGGTTTCAGCCCCTTACAGGATCAGGCTCTATTTCTATTAGCTTGGCCTCCAGTAATTCTTAATTCAATTTGATCATTTATAAAAGGAGGGTTGCACATAACTATGTCAAGGGGAACAAAGTTACACAAGTAAGACATCACAAAGTCCATGCCTCAGTGCAATTCTCCAGAGTGATACAAAGTGTGTTTTGTTCCAATAAAATATTGGGTGATACTATAAACGGCTCCAGATTATTTCCAAAGGCTGCACAACCGTTTATTTTGTTAATGAGAAGAGTAAAATAAAATGGAGAAAATGTTTCCTCTTGAACATTTTGAAAACTCCAGAGGATGATGTTGGTCAGCATGAGATAAATGGCTTAGTTTACCATAATGATTTAATGAAAGGGTTACATGCTGTTTGTGTGTGGGTATGGCCTGGCCTAGGCTATAGAATTAGGACAGAATAACTACATTGCTCTGGGATGTAAAAAAAAATCTACACCTGAAGCGTCATGGTTAAGATGACCAAGTCCTTGTGTGGACTGTGCTGGGTGGATGAAGAATTCTTCCATTGAACTAGCTAGCGTCTCTTGTGGAGGTGGGTACTTACATCAACAGGTGAATCCCTCCTTTCAGTGTAAACACTATCTGTGTTGAGGTGCTATAGCAGCAGAGCTATATATAGTGTACTAACTGTAAACTAGCCCTGCATGCATATGTGTGCTATAGTGCACACTATAGGCATAGATCTTGCTGGACATGAATAAATGTGCATATAGCTTGATTTGAGTGCAAAGTTAAAGTGTGTGTGTGTGTGTGTGGTTTAAAAAAAAAAAGTGTGAGACTGTTTTGGGGCTAGTTGAGATAACTGAACACCCTGAGCTGATCAGCTTGAAATGTACATAAGGTGAGGATACAAGCAATTGGTCCTTACACGATCTGCAAAGCAATTGGTCCTTATATGATCTGTACCTTGTCCAAACCAATTAGATTCAAGAATAGATGTTTTAGTAGCCTGGAAAAAGTATATAAACTGTATAGTTGGATACAAATGATTTAAAATTATGGTATCACCCTGTACCTAAACCCCTTGAGTCTGAGCCCCTGGTTTGCACGGGCACAGCACTATTATATGCCTAACAAAGTAACCTGAGTGATGAGGTGGAGCTGAACTGAGCTTTTGGATCCCAAGGAACTGGATGAAGTGTTCTCCCAGAACTGGATGAGGTGGTCTGGATTAGTCAATTGGAAGAGATCTTGGAGGGAATCCCAACACATGCATGGGCTTATGTGTGTGTAAACTCTGCCCAGAGCACTATGAAATATCAGAGCTTTTTAAAATAGTATTTGCAAATTGGGACCATGCAAAACAGGAATGCAGATATTTCCTGGCTAAATGCTAGAGCATCCTGTGTAAACGGCCTAAGACCAATGGACTTGGGACATAATAAGAGAGGGAAGAACCATGGGGTAGATTTCTTTTATCATCCAAAGCTGTTACTGAAAGCTTTTAAATATTTGTAAATGTAAATATTTCCCCAGCATGACCCCACCACATGAAGCTGAAGTAAGCTATGTGGAATGTGTTAATAAAATAAACATCTGAAACAAACAAATAATGTGGTAGGGAAAACAAGGACAAAATGGACTTGAAACATTTCCAAATGTAACAATCTAATAACTATTTATATGGACTGGAAAAATCTCTTGTACGGCCTGTATTTCCTGAAGAACCTAAAGAATACCCCAGTATGGGCGAATAGCCCAAGGGAGTAGTGGGTTGCATTGTGTGCCATTAAAATTCAGTTGTGGTGTTGAGACCATGAGCTGTTACAAACTAAGTAGTTGGCTAGATGCCTCCAATGTATTTAAAACATCTGTGAAAGATTAATGAGTCTTGTTCATGCCTCTATGACCCAACACCTCATATTCTTCATAGATATTGCTATGATATGAATATGGCATAAATAATGTGTTCTATGCAAGATGGGTCATGTGAGGTATCATAGGAAAGGTTATGATTTGCTGAATATGATTATCTATTTGTATGCATGTATCATTTCTGTATCTGTTAGGAATATTGACTATGTAACAATTACTGTGTTTACACCTGGGGAACACCCACCAGACAGTAGGCAATCAGCCTGGATAGGCCATTATGAAGAACAATAGGACTCTGAAGATGCTAATCTCCCACTTTCCTGAGAAGCTTCCTGGGATGCTGCTTTGACACTGCAGAGTCATGTTATCATGTCACTGGGTACTGGACCCCATCTTGGCCCAGGATGACTGCGGAGAACATCTAAGCCCTGGTCTACACTAGGACTTTAGGTCGAATTTAGCAGCGTTAAATCGATGTAAACCTGCACCCGTCCACACAATGAAGCCCTTTATTTCGACTTAAAGGGCTCTTAAAATCGATTTCCTTACTCCACCCCTGACAAGTGGATTAGCGCTTAAATCGACGTTGCCGGCTCGAATTTGGGGTACTGTGGACACAATTCGATGGTATTGGCCTCCGGGAGCTATCCCAAAGTGCTCCATTATGACCGCTCTGGATAGCACTCTCAACTCAGATGCACTGGCCAGGTAGACAGGAAAAGAACCGCGAACTTTTGAATCTCATTTCCTGTTTGGCCAGCGTGGCAAGCTGCAGGTGACCATGCAGAGCTCATCAGCACAGGTGACCATGATGGAGTCCCAGAATCGCAAAAGAGCTCCAGCAGGGGCCGAACGGGAGGTACGGGATCTGATCGCTGTTTGGGGAGAGGAATCCGTGCTATCAGAACTCCGTTCCAGTTTTCGAAATGCCAAAACCTTTGTCAAAATCTCCCAGGGCATGAAGGACAGAGGCCATAACAGGGACCCGAAGCAGTGCCGCGTGAAACTGAAGGAGCTGAGGCAAGCCTACCAGAAAACCAGAGAGGCGAACAGCCGCTCTGGGTCAGAGCCCCAAACATGCCGCTTCTATGATGAGCTGCATGCCATTTTAGGGGGTTCAGCCACCACTACCCCAGCCGTGTTGTTTGACTCCTTCAATGGAGATGGAGGCAATACGGAAGCAGGTTTTGGGGACGAAGAAGATAGCTCACAGCAAGCAAGCGGAGAAACCGGTTTTCCCGACAGCCAGGAACTGTTTCTCACCCTAGACCTGGAGCCAGTACCCCCCAAACCCACCCAAGGCTGCCTCCTGGACCCAGCAGGCGGAGAAGGGACCTCTGGTGAGTGTACCTTTTAAAATACTATACATGGTTTAAAAGCAAGCATGTGAAAGGATTACTTTGCCCTGGCATTTGCGGTTCTCCTAGATGTAGTCCTAAAGCCTTTGCAAAAGGTTTCTGGGGAGGGCAGCCTTATTGCGTCCTTCATGGTAGGACACTTTACCACTCCAGGCCAGTAACACGTACTCGGGAATCATTGTAGAACAAAGCATTGCAGTGTATGTTTGCTGGCATTCAAACAACATCCGTTCTTTATCTCTCTGTGTTATCCTCAGGAGAGTGAGATCTAATTCATGGTCACCTGGTTGAAATAGAGTGCTTTTCTTCAGGGGACACTCAGAGGAGCCCATTCCTGCTGGGCTGTTTGCCTGTGGCTAAACAGAAATGTTCCCCGCTGTTAGCCACAGGGAGGGGGGAAGGTTGAGGGGGTAGTCACACGGTGGGAGGAGGCAAAATGCGACCTTGTAACGAAAGCACATGTGCTATGTATGTAATGTTAACAGCAAGGTTTACCCTGAAAGAGTGTAGTCACTGTTTTATAAAATGTGTCTTTTTAAATACCGCTGTCCCTTTTTTTTTCTCCACCAGCTGCATGTGTTTCAATGATCACAGGATCTTCTCCTTCCCAGAGGCTAGTGAAGCTTAGAAAGAAAAAAAAACGCACTCGCGATGAAATGTTCTCCGAGCTCATGCTGTCCTCCCACACTGACAGAGCACAGACGAATGCGTGGAGGCAAATAATGTCAGAGTGCAGGAAAGCACAAAATGACCGGGAGGAGAGGTGGCGGGCTGAAGAGAGTAAGTGGCGGGCTGAAGACAGGGCTGAAGTTCAAATGTGGCAGCAGCGTGATGAGAGGAGGCAGGATTCAATGCTGAGGCTGTTGCAGGACCAAACCAGTATGCTCCAGTGTATGGTTGAGCTGCAGCAAAGGCAGCTGGAGCACAGACTGCCACTGCAGCCCCTCTGTAACCAACCGCCCTCCTCCCCAAGTTCCATAGCCTCCACACCCAGACGCCCAAGAACGCGGTGGGGGGGCCTCCGGCCAACCAGCCACTCCACCACAGAGGATTGCCCCAAAAAAAGAAGGCTGTCATTCAATAAATTTTAAAGTTGTAAACTTTTAAAGTGCTGTGCTTAAAGTGCTGTGTGGCATTTTCCTTCCCTCCTCCACCACCCCTCCTGGGCTACCTTGGTAGTCATCCCCCTATTTGTGTGATGAATGAATAAAGAATGCATGAATGTGAAGCAACAATGACTTTATTGCCTCTGCAAGCAGTGATTGAAGGGAGGAGGGGCGGGTGGTTAGCTTACAGGGAAGTAGAGTGAACCAAGGGGCGGGGGGTTTCATCAAGGAGAAACAAACAGAACTTTCACACCGTAGCCTGGCCAGTCATGAAACTGGTTTTCAAAGCTTCTCTGATGCGTACCGCGACCTCCTGTGCTCTTCTAACCGCCCTGGTGTCTGGCTGTGTGTAACCAGCAGCCAGGCGATTTGCCTCAACCTCCCACCCCGCCATAAACGTCTCCCCCTTACTCTCACAGATATTGTGGAGCACACAGCAAGCAGTAATAACAGTGGGAATATTGGTTTCGCTGAGGTCTAAGCGAGTCAGTAAACTGCGCCAGCGCGCCTTTAAACGTCCAAATGCACATTCTACCACCATTCTGCACTTGCTCAGCCTGTAGTTGAACAGCTCCTGACTACTGTCCAGGCTGCCTGTGTACGGCTTCATGAGCCATGGCATTAAGGGGTAGGCTGGGTCCCCAAGGATACATATAGGCATTTCAACATCCCCAACAGTTATTTTCTGGTCTGGGAATAAAGTCCCTTCCTGCAGCTTTTGAAACAGACCAGAGTTCCTGAAGATGCGAGCATCATGCACCTTTCCCGGCCATCCCACGTTGATGTTGGTGAAACGTCCCTTGTGATCCACCAGAGCTTGCAGCACTATCGAAAAGTACCCCTTGCGGTTTATGTACTCGGCGGCTTGGTGCTCCGGTGCCAAGATAGGGATATGGGTTCCGTCTATAGCCCCACCACAGTTAGGGAATCCCATTGCAGCAAAGCCATCCACTATGACCTGCACATTTCCCAGGGTCACTACCCTTGATATCAGCAGATCTTTGATTGCGTGGGCTACTTGCATCACAGCAGCCCCCACAGTAGATTTGCCCACTCCAAATTGATTCCCAACTGACCGGTAGCTGTCTGGCGTTGCAAGCTTCCACAGGGCTATCGCCACTTGCTTCTCAACTGTGAGGGCTGCTCTCATCTTGGTATTCATGCGCCTCAGGGCAGGGGAAAGCAAGTCACAAAGTTCCATGAAAGTGCCCTTACGCATGCGAAAGTTTTGCAGCCCCTGGGAATCGTCCCAGACCTGCAACACTATGCGGTCCCACCAGTCTGTGCTTGTTTCCCGAGCCCAGAATCGGCGTTCCACAGCATGAACCTGCCCCATTAGCACCATGATGCATGCATTGGCAGGGCCCATGCTTTCAGAGAAATCTGTGTCCATGTCCTGATCACTCACGTGACCGCGCTGACGTCGCCTCCTCGCCCGGTATCGCTTTGCCAGGTTCTGGTGCTGCATATACTGCTGGATAATGCGTGTGGTGTTTAATGTGCTCCTAATTGCCAAAGTGAGCTGAGCGGCCTCCATGCTTGCCTTGGTATGGCGTCCGCACAGAAAAAAGGCGCGGAACGATTGTCTGCCGTTGCTCTGACGGAGGGAGGGGCGACTGACGACACGGCTTACAGGGTTGGCTTCAGGGAGCTAAAATCAACAAAGGGGGTGTCTTTACATCAAGGAGTATTTCAGGCAGGACTTCACGGAGGGTTCCAATAAGAAATGGTGCACCTAAGTTATCATTCTTATTGGAACAAGGAGGTTAGCCTGGCCTCTGATTGATACATGGCTAGATTTACCTCGCTGCACCTTCTCTGTGAGTGACTGCAGTGTGACCTAGAGGAATGAGTCCCCTAGACAGGGGAGGAGGCAAATGAGTACAAAACAAATCTGGTCTATTTCTTGTTTTGACCCACTCCATCTATCTTTTACATCTTTGGCTGGCAGCAGACGGTGCAGAAGGACTGCATGCCATCCACATCTCATGGCTGCTCGGCAGAAGATGGTACAGTACGACTGCTAGCCATCCTCATCTCTTGCCTGCCTGGCAGAAGATGGTACAGTACGACTGCTAGCAGTCCGTATCGCCTGCCCGCTCACCATAAGACGGTTCAATAGGACTGACTGCAGGACTAAAGAGAATGACCTGGTCAAGTCACTCCAAATTTAGTCCCTGCGCCCATGTCTGCCCAGGCGCTCCCAGCCGACGTGGCCAGGAGCACTTCGGACACGACGAGGATGACTACCAGTCGTATTGCACCGTCTGCTGTCAGAAGGCAATGGGTTGCTGCTACTGTGCAGCAAAGCCGTACCGCGTCTGCCAGCACCCAGGAGACATAGGGTGACGGTTACCTGAGCGGGCTCCATGCTTGCCGTGGTATGGCGTCTGCACAGGTAACTCAGGAAAAAAGGCGCAAAATGATTGTCTGCCCTTGCTTTCACGGAGGGAGGGAGGGAACGGGGGCCTGACGATACGTACCCAGAACCACCCGCGACAATGTTTTAGCCCCATCAGAGTGCTCCATTGTGACTGCTCTGGACAGCACTCTCAGATGCCCTATTGTTTGCCGTTGCTCTGACGCCGGGAGGGGCGACTGAGGACACGGCTTACAGGGTTGGCTTCAGGGAGCTAAAATCAACAAAGGGGGTGGCTTTACATCAAGGAGTATTTCAGGCAGGACTTCACGGAGGGTTCCAATAAGAAATGGTGCACCTAAGTTATTGTCCTTATTGGAACAAGAAGGTTAGCCTGGCCTCTGATTGATACATGGCTAGATTTACCTCACTGCACCTTCTCTGTGAGTGACTGCAGTGTGATCTAGAAGAATGAGTCCCCTAGACAGGGGAGGGGGGGAAGCAAATGAGTACAAAACAAATCTGGTCTATTTCTTGTTTTGATACACTCCATCTATCTTTTACATCTTTGGCTGGCAGCAGACGGTGCAGAAAGACTGCATGCCATCCACATCTCATGGCTGCTCGGCAGAAGATGGTACAGTACGACTGCTAGCAGTCCGTATCGCCTGCCCGCTCACCATAAGACGGTTCAATAGGACTGACTGCAGGACTAAAGAGAATGACCTGGTCAAGTCACTCCAAATTTAGTCCCTGCGCCCATGTCTGCCCAGGCGCTCCCAGCCGACGTGGCCAGGAGCACCTTGGACATGACGATGACGGCTACCAGTCGTACTGTACCGTCTGCTGCCACAAGGCAAGGGGTTGCTGCTACTGTGTAGCAATGCCGTACCGCATCTGCCAGCACCCAGGAGACATAGGGTGACGGGTACCTGAGCGGGCTCCATGCTTGCCGTGGTATGGCGTCTGCACAGGTAACTCAGGAAAAAAGGCGCGAAATGATTGTCTGCCCTTGCTTTCACGGAGGGAGGGAGGGAACGGGGGCCTGACGATATGTACCCAGAACCACCCGCGACAACGTTTTAGCCCCATCAGGCATTGGGATCTCAACCCAGAATTCCAATGGGCAGCGGAGACTGCGGGAACTGTGGGATAGCTACCCACAGTGCAACGCTCCGGAAGTCGACTCTAGCCTCGGTACTGTGGAAGCGCTCCGCCGAGTTAATGCACTTAATGCACTTAGAGCATTTTCTGTGGGGACACACACACTCGAATATATAAAACCGATTTCTAAAAAACCGACTTCTATAAATTCGACCTTATTCCGTAGTGTAGACATACCCTAAGAAACAAGGGCGGTGGGGGAGGAGGGGGGAGAAGAAGAGCTGAGCCTGGGCCAGAAAAGGTGTCTGGCCTGTGAAAGAAATGCCTAAACAACATTTAGGGTGAGGAAATTACTACTTGTAACCAGTTTCTTTAATGTATTAAACTTACTTTGCATGTTTTTATTTGCTCAGTAATCTGCTTTGGTCTGTTTGCTATCTCTTATAAACACTTAAAACCTACCTTTTTGTAGTCAATAAGCTTGTTTTTGTTTTTTCTAAAACATAGCTTGTGGAATTCATAACGGGGGGGAGGGAAGGCAGGCAAAAAGCTGTGCATATCTTCTGCCACATTTGTTGGAGACCCCAGGGCATGGCCACTAGTTAAGTCAAGGGGATGGAAGGCCATAAGGGTTGAGGAAGTCACCCTGCTGAAAGCCTAAGGGCTTCTTCTTAACCCCCCTTAATAGAATTCAGGCCTGGCTGGTTTGAGTAAGCTCTTTTGCTCTTAAAACAATGTTGCAGCCGCAGATAATGCCTTAGTGTAAGGTTTGCTGACGCCAAGTTAAAAATAATAGGAGATAGTTACAAGGCCAGGCAGGATGTGCTGGTTGTTTAAGTTGCTAGGAATGCTTGTTAGAGGTTGCAGGAAATAAACATTGTTGTAACCCATAAAAGGAAGGCAGAGTATTTGTGCAAAGTTTTAATTGGCTGATGTGTAGTGCAGTAGCATTAAGGAATATAAAAGTGTGTGTAATGACCTGCTCTGGGGTGCAGGATTTGAGCATCTATACTCCCTGTATCTTGTTTGCAGCTGCAAATAAACTTTTCTTCTGCTTCTCCACCCCGTTGTGATTATTGAGTGAAACACACAGGGTAACGAACCCCTGCTGTTGTTTTGCCTCTCAGCACACAGGGTAACGAACCCCTGCTGTTGTTTTGCCTCTCAGCACTGGGTGCCGGCAACACATTGAAGGAGGGAGCGAATTTCATGAGCTTACGCTATACTGTTTTCTGTGCAGCACAAGACAATACAATTTCAGATTTGCACCCTGGGGCCTGGGACTGAAGCCAAAACCCAAGCCCCACTGCTCAGGGCCGCAGCTGAAGCCTGAGCCTCAGCAACTGGGGCTGAAGCCTGAGCCCACAACCTACTTGGGGTAGTGGGGCTCAGGCTTTGGCATTCGGCGTCCCCCCCCCCCCCGCCTGGGGCGGCAGGCACTGGCGGTCTCAGATCTCTCTCCCTCCTTCTGAGGTCATGTAGTAATGTTTGTTGTTGGAAGGGAGTCATGGCACAATGAAGTCTGAGAACCCCTGTTCTACGCTCTCTCTCTCTTTCTTCTACTAACACACAAGGCCCTCCTCAGCCAGCAGCTATGTGGGGGTGGCCAACTG